TACTTCATATGCTTTGACACTCTCTGTTGCTGCTATTGTCGGAGCCTCGACCTACACCGCCCCCTGCTTTGTGTTTGTGTGCACCCCTGGAGGGTCTTGATTTCTAAATTAAGCCCCACGATCGGGGAATTGTCTGCAGTTCTCCCTGCATATTGTGCATCATGTTGGGATGTAGGTGCTTTGCTACTGCAGGGGGGCACCATCAGGAGCAGAACAATACGGGCAAGTCAAACTTTATCGCCGTCTCTGTTTGTAGTGATGTTCAAACTGGTGATGCGAGTGACTCCTGACAGTGGGAAACATCTCCACTTTGGAACCTGGGCCACCGGAGTTGAAAGCAGATGTACATTAAGACACTTATTTTACACAATGCAGTTTCAGCTTCTCTATACTGTCGTTTTTTTTTTTTTCCTGTGTTCTTCATGTAAAAATAGGAAGACCGTGTACAGGACTGATTCTTTGAGGCCACAATAACCCCCCCCCCAAAAAACTCCTGGTTGACTGACATTGTACCTGCTCTTCAACTGACTGCACATTACCTCGAGACTAAAAGAAAAAAAAACAAAAAACAGACCATTGAGTGAATTCTTCCTGCTGATGTTATTCGTCTAAATTCATTTTCGAGCAACGTAAAAGCGAGCATTTGGAACACATTTAAACATTTTAACCTGGCGATTTTACACTGGAATGACAACAACAGACTCGGAGCAGATGATTTCTGAGAAGTTCTCAGGACAAGAACTGCTGAAGAACATAACACAGAAAAGTTAGTCCACTGTTTTTAGATGATCTACCATGTTGGTTGTTGGGCTGTAAAAAAAAAAAATTAACCATCTGTTTGAACAGCATACAGCCACACCAACGACTTCCTTGTACATGGTGTCAGTTAGTCTGGAAGGGTTAAGTCAAATTCGTCAAAACGTTAAATAAGCTAGCAGTAGTCTTTAGGTCGAGCCGGTTCAAAATTAGGCTTTTTCGGCAGGAACTTGCGACTTGAAGCTTTGCACGTGATCCACCCCTATTGAACTAATTCAGTGCTGTAGTTAAGGGAGAAAAAAAGCACCGACTTGGAGGTACATACTTTCTGAGTAGCCCGTTCAGCTCAAGACACTGATTTGTTAACCATGTTGTGTCTTTGTCTTTCCATATTTTTGCATCCTGAGCTTTGATGGTTGTCTGGAGTAAACACTACTTTCACGCTTCCTCATAAAGACTTCTTCTTAAACAAAATAAAACAGCAACACTGGACACTGAGCTGGCTTGAATAGAAGTAATTCCTCTTAAAGAATATCTGAGCACCTGACATCTGCTGCTACTCCTACTACATTCATGTGGGACAGAGAAGATATTCAGTTTTTCCTGATGGAACTCAATTTACATCCATTAACTACAACTTGGTAGTCGAAACTGGTAGTCTGTTCCTCCCACTGCCAGAAATAATAGATTAATCCTATAAGGCTATAGGTGTAGCACATTTCTTCTTACAAAAGTGACACCAGTGATTATCAGATTAAGAGAAGTTGGTTGAGTGAAAGCATATCAGGTATACAGTTGACCAGCCCACCTGGACGCTACAGTATCTTTATGGGTATTGGTCATTAACAAGTCTTCCATTATCTGCTGGATTTCTCCCCAAATAATTTCATAGAATCTCCTAACCACCCTCATTGTGTAACATCTAGTCCATGTCCATGTTCAAAAATGTCAAGAATCCCTGAGGTGTCTTTTGAGAAGCAAATATCACCATTAGTGCAGTCTTGTTTCGTTTAATTGATGATTACAACCAGGATCAGGTCGTTCCTCTCATCTGAAGGTCATCCATCCTTTCATCTCCCCCACACTTCATGCCTGCAGCTCACTTTATTCCGGTCTCAACAGTGGAATAAAAATTCTACAGTTTGTATAAAACGCTGCTGCCAGGTTTGTATTACACATTCATGAGGTTGGGGCAGCCAAAACAGAAGGATTAGGAGAAGAAAATCCAAAAAGCAGAGGAGCTTAGTCTTTAGCATGAGTCTTCAATAAACTGGTCCAGTATAGTCCATGTCATTAGATCTTCCCTGCATGGTGAACATTCATTATTGTCAGACAGCTTGTGCCTGGTTTGTAATGTTGATGGTTGGTATAGCCCTTTAAGCATATGCTTTATTTGATGTGTAAAATCTGTCGACCTTATTATTCTGATTCATTTTAAAAACTTGTTGTCAAAGCTGTATGTGGTCAATCTTCTGCTTATATAAATGACTGATATCCTCTGACTGGACCAGTTCAGTCCTTTAGGCTGTTTTAACAATTTACTTTTATTAATTGAAACAGCTGCTGATGGTGGTCTGACCTTTGCTGTCCTGGTCCTTCAGCTTAGAATAGAATACCTTTTTATTGATCCCCCATTGGGGGAAATTTACTGTGAAATTTACTGCATCCAAAAATATAAAAAGTACAAGAACATAACAATAATTAAGTATTATGCATCCTGGTGTCCACACACAGCAGGTCCAAGGCCCCACTGTCTCCGGTTGGGCAGTCCACATACTGGCTGAATGTGGGGAGAGTGGTAGAGAGCGATGTATGATTGAAGTCTCCTGAGATGATGATCAGAGACTGAGGGTGTGATGTTTGCAGCTGGGACACTGAACTATGGATGAGTTCACAGGCCGCAGTAGCATCAGTTGAGGAGGGGATGTAAACTGGAATCGCCAGGACGTGAGAAAACTCCCTCGGCAGGTAAAACGGCCGCAAACCAACCATCAGCAGTTCAGTATCCTTCAAGCAGCGCCTCTCTTCAATGCTAACGTGCCCAGCATTACACCACCTCTCATTCACATACATGGCGAGTCCCCAGCCTTTCTTCTTACCACTCTCCCTCAAGCTCCGGTCCACCTGACCAGATGAAATCCGTCCAAAGTTTGGAGTGTCTGGAGTGAGTTGGTTCAGCCATGACTCCGTGAACAACATCAGGCTGCACTCCCGATACGCCCACTGCAGCTAGGTCAGCGCTGTTAGCTGTTAGCTGTTAGCTGTTAGCTCCTCCATCCGTTAGGGAGAGACATTTCCTATGATGATGGACGGATGGACGGCTTGTAGCGTCTCCTCTTCTCCCGATGCTTCACACTTCTTAGTTACCAGAATCAACGTCCTTTTTAAACTTGTCCCAAAAAGTAATCTTCATTGTGTGGCTTTTTATTCAACAGCTGTAATTTGCTCTAATTGTTCTAATTATCTCCCTTTGGCGTTTACAACTTGGATTGTATTCAACTGTATTCATTATATCTTGGACTCCTGGTTGCAGTTTTATCTGTTTTCATTCAAACGCTGTTTCCAAAATACTTTCTTATGAGGGCGGATCAAGAAGTTGTGGGATCATGTTGCATCATGCTATCAACATCTGGATCCAACCACTGGTGGATGGTCATTTGGTCCTACTCCATGCAGTTTAAACTGGAGCAAAGCGCAAACATTGCATTCTGTGTCAGTCAGCAGCCGAAATGATTCAACCTTCATGTTGAGGATCATTGCTTGTGATGAGAGGAGGGTCTGCGACTACCACCAGGAGAAGGAACAACGATTTTCACAACAAATAACCAACGCTATAAAAAAAAAAAATCAATGGCCAGATTTGTTGCCAAGTTGATGAGTTGGTGACATGACACCTGATGTCGCCCAGGCTGGCAGCCTATCAAAACAGAAACTTGACTGCAGAGGCCAAGACTTCACCTGCCCTCTCTGTGTGCCTGTCGTTCCTGGTCCACATGAGGGCATGCTGTCTTTGAAATTACAATGTTGTAGCAGCAATTCACACATATATACATATATGGATACTAAAAAAAGTACACAACCAACATCTTTACTTTGTTAGTTAGCCCAGCTTGAAGCAACCTGAAGCTAATTCTCATAGTTTAATCGTAGCAGCTGTACTTGCTTGAGTTTCTTGACTAGTCAGTCAGAACTGATGAAACCTCTTGGATGAGAGGTGAAATGTCTTCAAGAAACTCAAACAAGTCCAGCTGCTATGATTAAACTACAAGAATAACCATGACCTAGATGACTGAGAATCTTCACAGACAAGCCAAAGCTACATTTCTGTAGAGTGATCTTACCACACGAATAAGCTTTACAACAAAAGTCTCTTTAAATAGGTTACACTTGGATGTATTGATTTAATGTAATTTGGGCATGTTTATATTTGTACATTCCTCATTCTACTTGTTGTGTAAAGGCACTGACAGGATTGCTGCCAATTGTTTTTACACCCTGTACAATGAAAATGCATGGGATTCTGTTGTATTGTATTGTACTTCATTTTATTCTAATTCCTAAATAAGAGCCTTAAATCAAATCATATTCCGAATATTACAATATTTGTTTCAATGATCGAAAGACTACTGGACAAAAAAATAGCCATTTAGCTGCAACCCTAGTTTTCTCGGTGGACAAGTTCAGACAGACAAGGCGCATTTTGTCAGGAGTGCAGCAGAAGCATGTTCACTGTTTAGAGAGCTTGTGCATTTAAGAGTTCCTCACCTAAGTTCAGAGTTTCTACGATAATGTCCTGAGGCCCAACACACACACACCTCCATAACAGTGATTCCACACTGTTGTTTGTTTTTGCCACAACAACAAAATGACTTTCTTGACTTTTTTTTTACTGTTTCTCAAAAACTGATCATTCAGTAAATTGGTCTTCAATGAAACACCAAATGAATTCATGCTAACACACAAAATAACTTGACTTTTCATGACACCAGGCTGCATGTTTCCATATCGCTGCACAGGAGGACTATTTCAACAGGAGAGTCCAGTCAGGCTTAAACTACGTGTGTTTTTTGATTTTTACAGGTACTATCTCTGAACTTTGTGATCAGTCCTCTTATTGTTGACAACATTTCAAGACCGATTCTCCAGAATTCTGTGACACTGCTAATGAAACAACTATGAACAAGTGAAACGTGTTTTTGGTGACATTGTTGTGAGTGGTGCATGAGGCCCGAGCTGTCACTCACCATAGTGTGGGATGATGGCCCAGGCCATGGCCGAGGCGTAGATTCCTCCGATCATCCAGAACATGCACAGCCAGCTCAGATGTTCTCCTCTCTTCTCCCGAGCCAGCACCTCCGCAAAGTAGGAGAAAACTATGGGCACCGCTCCACCAATCCTGCAAATACAGTTTGCTGTAATTAGCTGTGTATGCTTCAGAAGCCAGCCCTCATTTGTCTTTCGTTAATGTGTGTAATGATAAACATCTAAAAATGTGCAAAACTGATTTATGGCTGCATGAAACCATTTGGGGAAGAAGTGAAGGAGTTCAGAGTTTCTTCATCTGTCACTGTGAGAGCGATGAGCGTATAAACGGTGAATGTGAAGCTAATTCACAGAGCTCATTATTCCATGTGACACAATACTGTACATGAGTTGGGCAGACATTGTATTGTTGTTCAGTTTGTCTTCAGAGATTTTAGATTTTTACTAATTTGACCACAAAGGAGTAGCAGGATTTTTTTCAGACTTTAACACCTTTTTGTTCTCATGTCTTTCCTAATTAGACAGAACTGAAGAATCTCAATGATAAGAAAGATTCCACATTGTTTTGGCTTATTTTAAGACTCATATCAGGTAGAAGCAGCAACGCTGTCCAGTGAAACTATGTTAGGCGACAACATGCTGTCGTCCTCGGACTACAGAAAATGAAAAAGAGCAGGACACAGGATATTACAATCCGTGATGCATCTTCTCTCCTTTCCCTCCCGGTTGCATTATTGCACAAAAACAGAGGCTGTGTTCATATTTTCATTACAGTGAGAATGTCTCACATTACATAGTCCCATACTAATAGGATGCTATGTGTTGTGTCTATGTGATGGATATCTGCACCGAACTGGACCATCAGCGAGGCGTCGGCAGAGTCAGCAGGAGCCCATCTGTGACTGCAGTGACGCTGCTGGTTTGTTTCACAGCTTCAGAGTTTGAAAAATATATTAGGAGAGAAAAACCGAATGGCAAACTATTTGACAAGCGAGTCGAGTGTTGCAAATGTGAAGCAGACTCAGAGACCACTCTCTGTGTTAAAGGATGTTTGTATTTATATTATGATCACTATATGTGTGTTTCTATTTGGCTCAGAGGTTCCTACAGAGCCCATTTTAACAGTCACTACAAATACACATAACACAAAGCAGCATGAGGGTAAATGACTCCAGAGTAAATCACTGGGGTTGTTTTTTTGTATCTTCAAGTGTCGTCTTGGAGGACATTTTTCTGTGTGTAAAAATGATGTGTTTAATACAAGGAAGCTTTTGTTGACAGCTGTATGGTTTCAGATTATTTCTCTTGTATCACGTTCTAAAGTCAAATGCATTTGTCAGTGCAAATTGCAGGTTCAATTGTAACTCAAGTTGATTTTATTTTATTTCTGACACATTAATGGACAAATTCAAATGAAAATATTGTAAATTCTGCTCCTAAAATTAAAGCTGTTCCCCACAATGGGTCACATTACACCACATAAAGGAGTCTTCTCTGCCTCGGTGCTCTGTTCAGTAGTCGATGGTGTTGAGTCTGAGCAGCTGTGATTTAGAAAGGCTCTTTTTTTCTAGGTTGGTATGCATTTCACCATTTCTCATCATATCGAACTATTCCATTCGTGCAGGTTGCATAAACTCCGGACATCAAGTCCACACTTTTCCTAACTGCAGAGCTGCTTTCATGTCTGGGTGAGTTTTGTGCACCTGAACAGACTTGAAGGCTGCAAAGTTCTGTAACAAAGAGCGTAGTCATCATGTGCAACTCTCATTTTAGACAGGAGGGTTATATTTGCAGAGGTACAATGGAGCCGGGACGTGTGAGGCTGACGGCTGGTTCGGTCCCTTTGATGCACAACAGCAGCTTCAGCTCCACCGTCAGCAGCAGCTCCTGGTTCTGGTCCCGGTGGGAATTGGGGTTAGAGATTTAACTGGATGAAAATGTAAAATCTGCTCTGTAAGTCTACTTTTATGTCTACAAACTCTTAAAGAGTCACGATATCTGTTAGCAAAACTTACAGCACTGAGATGTAAGGCAACATCAGCTAATATCACCAGATGCGACGCACTGTGCTTCACTTGTTCTCTTCACACCACATAATAGTTTCTTAGTGATCACAGTTATTTCTTCTCATCTTTATCTGTTCCTGGTCTCTCTGACACCTGGCAGGCTCATATTTATAAAGTTGTGGTCTATCACATGTGTATGAATGCACATTTCATTTCCAGATGTGCATTCCACAAGACTTACTAATTAAATGATCCTGAACAAACTGTTATATGCTGTGTATATGCAGCAAAATGACAATAAACTTGATTTGATTTGATTGATTTGATTTCAACCCCTTCAATGTCAAACTGCTGTGAGGATTTCTTAGTGTTAAACTGACCTACAAGGTTGTGGTGCTTATATAGACCTATTAGGTTCTACTTCATTCTGATGCACATCCATTCATTGGGTTCGCCAACTTGCAGCTTGCTCTTTAATCTCACGTCCTACTGCTTTAAGCTGTACAACATTGTTGCATTTTTTAAAAATTTATCTTGGTTAATAAGTATGTTTCCAAAATGTTAAACTATTCCTCTACAGTCGTGATCTGTGCTGTATAACAAGTACTTACATCTCAGCTGGCTCACTGGAGCAGCCAGCTGAGACATTTTGATTTCTTACTACATCCATCCAGTAGGAGCAACAGTAATTCATGAGAGCATAAAGAACATGGCAACAGACTGTGTGGCCACATTTTTCCTTTTTCTTAACAAAGATGTCAATATAACACAGTCCGATACTTCTGAATGTAGCGGGTCTGAACCAATCAATGGTAATGATTGAAGGATTTTTCTCCCTGTAGTTCAAAAAAGTCAAGAATAAATATACATTTAAAATAAAATAACCATATTCTAACAATGACTACTTTAACATAACATTATGATGACCTCTCTTTAGCTGCATTTAAGAAAATCACTGAAACTTGGTCTGTGTAATTTGACAAAACTGCATCTCTCTTTTTTTTCTCTCTCTGTTGCTATTTGTTTAGATGGCTCATGGTAGCAAAGCTAATGAGGTAAGGAAAAGCTTAATGAAACAAGCAGTATCTAGTCAAACTGCAACAACACTCAGCGCCGGATCGTATTTTTCTCGCAGACTGCGGATGTAAAAAAGATGGAGAACTCAGCGTTCCCCTTAGAAAACGCCACCGCAGCTCTCGACGGTACACATCTGTTTGTTTATGCACATTTCCACTGAAACGTTTCTATATCCCCAAAGGTATGTGTGCAATTATAAATATCTTCCTGCACAATAAACTTGCCTCTGCATACAGATTGAGAATTAAGTGATGAAATAAAAGCTAAGGATGCTAATTAAAAATTTAGATCCATTAAGGTAGAAGCTGTTTCTCAGATTAAGCTGCATTGAGAGGCTTACTAGTTGGTTATACACCTGTAATTAAATGTAAGTGAGCTGAGTGTAACGCAGGTAGTGTTAGCAAGAGGCTGAACTCACATGTTGTCGTGGATTATATGGAGACATGTTGCATAAAGATGAATAATTCTCTAGTACAGTGGGTGAAATATTGTTTTTTTTTTCTACTTTCTCTTGGTTTTGACAGCTGTCTCCCATGTAGATGACACGTTTTGAACCTCAGGCCCCCGTCGGCCCTCTGTCTGATTTTAATTTACATTTTGATCTCACCACAGACACCACCACCGCAGCCACAGCTTCACATACTATACGAGCAGGACGTCAGATGAGTGAGACAGGAGGACGTGTCATTCATCAAGGATGTGGGCAGCCAAGCAGACCACGCCGAAGCCCACAGATGTTCGTTAACTGTGCTTCGCTCGTTTCTGCAAACGTTTCTGTTTTGCTTTGTTCTTTCTCTCCCCCCCCCTTACTCAGGGGGATGAGGATGGGCTGCTGCCAGGCAGTTAGAATAACCTCTTGTCATGTGCTTTGACTTTGGAGGAGGGGAAACAGCAGAGGAACCAGTGGGAGGACGGAGCAGGCTGGATGGAGAGAGGGGAAACCCTCAGAGGGGCTTCAGTATCTCAAACACAAGAGCCGTGTTTCCAGATGATCGTCTCGTGAATCTGAAGCTAATTCTTCAAATATTAATTGTTTTCACTAACTGCTTCGGAGCTAATAACCATGGCTGTGTAGCGTCTTCAGGAAGTGGTGCAAGAGACTATGTTAGTTGTGAGAAAAGAAACTAATCCAGTTGTTTGCCAACTGCTGACAAACCTTGAAGAAGAAGATGAAACAAACAAACTTTCATGAAGAATAGAGAAAATAGAAAGAGGTCTTAAAGAACTGTGTTCAATTGGAAATGTAATTATTCTTTCATGTTTCATGCTGTCTGGAGACAGAAAATGAAAGAATAGTTGATCAGTCGTCTGAGCTCCATCAGTTTTGGGAGTTTTTTGCTCCTGTTAATTTTTTCAAGTCTTGCATCTCTATGGAAACATAAAATCTGGGGCTAGACGTACAGAAAGTATGTGCGGTTCGGTGCAGTATTACAAAGTTAAATTGCCATGAATCATAAAAAAAGGAAGAAATGAAAGGTTAAGTTTTGGGATTTAAAAAAAAAAATAAAAATTTAGCATTAAAAACAAAAACATATAGAAATCCTGCAAACAACATGTGCAACATCATTTTACTCACACTGGAAAGAAATGGTGGCTGTACATACTTTTAAAAAATGACCACTTATATTCTTATTTGTTTCTATATTTGTCTCCTTGTTGCTTCAGCACAGCCTGCAGGTCAGACCAGGAGCCTGTACTACGAAACGAGATCAACGTACCTTGGATATCTTTCAGAGATCCGGCTTGACTAACTCTAACAATCCTGAGGATTCCTTTAACTAATGTCCTGCTTAATGTATATACTTGTGGCATATCTGACATTTTTTTTAACTTTCAGCTGCAACCCTGGCGGCGTGAAAGGGACGTGGGGACAAATGAAGAACAAACATAAAAACACAATCAGGGGCGGTGAAGGCTTATTAACGCATCCTACAAATACAAGCTTTAATGCTAAAATCAGTTTACTGTTGTGGGGTGATATCGGTATGGAAGAAAAATAAGAAATAGCTTTGACATTGCCTGTAGCCAACAGGAAGAAAATGAATGGAGGAAGACAGGAGCTCATAGAGATCATCAGGGTGCACTAAGGGGTTTTGCCGGTCCTGAAAAACCCTCACACTCCTCAGTGATCCCTCACAGTTTGCGCTCTGATGTGTAGCAGGTCCTCAATAAATGCCGGTGATACCATTTTGTTGAAAACTGCTTTGTTTTCTACTCCTTCTGAAGTTTTACAGGAGAGAACTGACTTTCAGTGGGAGGTGTTTTTATACCAGTGATCTCAATCTCCAACATAACCTGCTGTTGAGCAGGTTAGCCGTTCAGCGTAAGTTGCCATGGGGATGTACCCCAGTAAGAAGTGAATCACCATCGTAGGACTGAAAACCCAGGATCTAACCTGAAGTTACCTCGCTAACCCCAAATCCTGCTTCGTAGTACAGGCCCCAGATTTAAGAAGTGTCTGAGTTTTTGACAGCTGAGTCATTAATGTGTTCACAGGTGCGTCAAGGAGCCTGGAATTTTTTCTTTTCTGTGAATTAAACTTATTAATTTCAAGCTTAGATTTAGATTTAGTTACGTTTTTTGATGAAACAGCACATTAAAGAAGAGTAGTTTAAGGACCACTGGAAAGTTGAATATCAGACAGTTCTTTCTGTTTTTGCTGTTTCTGGCTCTGATAAATCTTGTCATTTTTTAGATTTTTAAACTAGATAACATGCATTTCAAACCTGCAGGTGGATTTAGGGGTTCAAAAGGTTAAATGTTCATGACTTATGTAGAGATGGTGTGCATTGAGCATTAAGTACACCACAAAATGAAAACTTTTTTGTGAAGCTGGGGAAGTTTTGTCGAATCTTGCCATTTCAATTAACTTCTTTAAATGTGACACTTCCATTTAAGCACAGACATACACCATGGAAACACATCTATTGAGGGGGAAGGGATGTGAAGTAGAAAGAGAGACTGAAGAGAAGAGATTAATTGAACTCACCCAAAGCCAGACACCATGCGGCAGAGCAGGAACATACTGTAGCCTTGGACAAAGGAGGAAAGGAAGGCGAAGAAGCCATTGACGGACATGGATATGAGCAGGCACTGTTTGCGGCCCAACTTGTCTGACAGGCCGCCCCAAAAAAAGGCTCCGAACATCATCCCCAGATACACGATGCTACCTGGAGAGAGGGAGGCAGGGGAGGGAGAGAGAGCTGTAAGGCATCACAGCCATCTGGAGCCTGACGTTTGTTAGTGAAACTGCTGAGTGAATAAAACACATCTCACACTTTGGAACGATGGAGACAGTTTGTGCTTGTAGTCATTCATACATTCTTGAAACGGTGCAACGTTCAACTTGAAAAGTGGACTCTCTGCACCAAACCTGACTGACTCTTCACTTTGAGCCCAAACTGATATTTGAATGGAAAAGCGGCGGTCATGTGACCACCTAGTGGCCCGCTAGTGCACACCTATCAAGTGGGCGATATTCAGAAGCGGCGCCTTACGGCGTGGGTAAAATCGCCCTTAGTCCTTAGTATTAAGTTGTGTTTTAACTCACTGTTTATTAAGGTTCAGATACCAAAACTACATGGCTAGGTTTAGGAGGATATGGTACTTTGATGACACTTGAACAACGATCACTACTTATAAGAAACCTGGTTAAGTATAAGAACCATAGACTGTATAAAAGATGGACGTAGTTACCGTGACGTCACCCGTTGGTTTCTGCACTGAGACAATGAAACCAGGGTTTTGCTACTTCCAGGTTGACATCTTGGATTTTTGGAGCCAGTGATGCAAAAATCGTCAGAGGGGGCGGAGCCATAGGAGCAACGATTGGTCAGACGGATTGAGAGGCGGGCCCTCTCTGCCCGCCCACATTTACCGCCTTCTGCTCGCTTCATCTGCATCGTCACTGCTGACTGTCAATCAAGCCAGCCACGCCCCTTGCCCCGCAAAATTTTGAAGATTTTTTAAAAATTCAGTATTGATTTATTTTCAGATTGGCCACCTGATCTCTGGACTTGACTATGAAAACTAATAAGAAAAAAATCCTGAGCTGTAGGAATGGGGTATTTCGTGATGTGTGATCACTTCTTTTCCAATTCATTTCTATGGGAGCCAGGGCTTTTTGGAGCCAGGACTAGCGGACTTAGTGATATTGCAGGTTTTTGACACTTCCGGGTTGGCTTCATTTTTCAGGGCCGGTTGCTACGTCCATCTTTTATACAGTCTATGACAAGAACCAAATTACTATCAGGTGCATTTTGGGATAAAACATGACCCTCTCTTAACAGGTCTGAAGCTTCTCCATCTAATATCTGATTGGAATAACACAAAAGGCAAACAGCTGAAATGTAATCCAGTGGAAAACGCGTTTAGAATGCAGTTTAGTAGTGCAGGAACAAAAGATTGTTTTGGTCTTCACAAGCAATGTCTGGCTGTGAAACTTATCTTGACAGATATTGCAGTTGTCATATTTGTCTCGATTTCAGTGTGAGCAGTGATATTTGAATTTCCTTTTCCACTGCAATAAAAATGATGCTGCAAATTTTTTACTACATTCTGTACCAAACAAGCATTGCTCTATTACATCTAGAGAATATTATTTGGAGGAAAAGGCGTCTCTGTAGCACCACATTTGAACTTTATCAGAAACTTGCAGCTCCTGTGATCTGTATACTGCACTGCCACATTGTGATTTCGATAATATGTCAAATAATTGTTCAGCTCTGGTCGATTCTACTCATTGTGTCTGGTCCAGTCGCTGCTGTGCAGGTACACAGTGTACAGTGAGCTTGTTTGTGCTGGAAACAGCTGCAGCTCTAAATGTGATAAGCAGTAAAACTGTGAGCCATAAAAATGAAACAAAAGAGTGAGAAGACGAGGGGAGCTGCAGAGTCAGGTGATAGTTCTCTGACACCTTGTGACTTTGCAGGTGTCAGTGTGTTTGGACTGCGGTGGTCCACGAGACATCGGCATGAAGCAGTGCTTTCCAGGTGCATCAGTGGAGTAACGGAGCTCAGCCTGAGATTGGTTCTGTTATTTCCCAGCTATCGACAGAACGCTGAGAGGTCGCGTAAGATGTAAGTCTATATAAATAGCACAACCGGGATCGATTAGATGAACTTGGCTCGGAGCTCTACAACAACGCAACTGTGTAAGTCCAGTCCACAGCACTGTACATCAGCTCCACTCTGTTTTGACTGCACTTCCTCAGTACATGTGGGTTCAGATGAACTCAGGATCACATAACAAACCTGCAGCTACCACGCTGCATAATAATGGATGAAGGTACAGCAGCTGCACAGTGCGCACACACAGCAACATGCATTTAATTCATCTATTGACTGGTGTCTAATATGGTAAATTGATATGTGTTTAGTAGCTGTAAAGCAAATATCTATTGTGGCATAATAAAGATTTGACTCCGGTTTAATTTTCTCTGAGTGAAACGACTGTCTGGTGACTGATATTTGTTAAAGTGACTGTGGGGGGAAACAGAGCAGTAGTTGACCTCGCAGCCCTGCTTTTAAATCCACACATTCATCTCTTACTGCTGCTTATCCGCAGGAAACTGAGGTCATTTCTCTTCCTATTCCCAGGAACATAAAGGAAGGGGTGCTGCTGGAGAGGTTTGAGGGTTGTCAGGCCAGTAAATAATCCACTTTACTCCCTATGTGCTAATAAAAATGCTAATGCACGTGGAAGGGGGAGATGCGATTGTTTGACGAGGCAGCAGCAGAAAGAACGCAACGAGAGGAAAGGAAGCCTTCTCTTTTTCTTTTTTTTTCTCCCCTTGCTGTGTTTGTGGTGATGGGACAGATAGGCTGGAAGTAGAGGGTCTTATCAAGCTGCGCAGACATGATGCTGAGAGCTAGTGATTCATTACAGGTGACAGCCGCTGGATCTTTGCAGCGCTGCAGCAGCGACGGCTCTCCTACAGGCAGCAGGATATAAAGAGGAGGCTACACTCCAGCCGGCTCACGAAATATCAAACTGAATATCAAAACTGCGGCATTTTGCACAAACTGGTGACATCTTTTGATTTGTGTAGCTACATCAGAACGCGTGTACTGAAGGAGATGCTATCTGAGAACACCGGCTCATTTGTTTTATGGCTCCTCTCACACTGGGTTTGTATCTGTAATAAAGGGGGAGGGTGCTGATGGTGATGGGACATCTGAGGCGCAGTAGGAACCTTCCTGAAATTGGATTTGTGATTTCCTGCTGGGTTCAAACTCGGGTCAGACCTTAAGGGTTTTTATGTAAATTAGAAAGGGTCAGTTAAAATCAGTGGAGCACGGGGAGTTTTGTTCAAGTGTTTGTCTGATGCAGGGGGGCCACAAAAACAACTGAATATCTAGACTTCATCAAATTTTTACTGTAATTCAAACAATTTACTGTTATTTTACAGAGTTTCCCTGTTTTGGTAATTACAGATAATAACTGGTAAAGAAAAAAAAGGAATAATTCACCCTAAAAAAAAATACTTGCTAAAGTTTTAAATAATAAAAATATCATCTGCATCAAAAATCTGTATTTTTACAAAGAGTAATCTCTTCTTTTACAACATTTGACATTAAAATTCTACTATTTTTTTTAAAGTATTTAAACCTGTAAAATAATATGATTATGTTACAGATGTGTGCTGTTATTCGAAAGGGAAATTTAGTACATTAAGGATTGAAGGGTTGATCATTTTTAACTTTAATTCTAAAGTTTATCACAGTTTTGTTAAATTATAGATGTAGTAAAATCACACAAAAAAAAGTCTTAATTGACATGTTCAACTAAAAAAATATTATGTTGCAGATACTTTATTTGTACTGGTTTTTACAGTATTTGACAATTGGAGTATTTAACCGTTTTTTTTTATAATATATTTTTTTTGGGCATCCTTGCTGCTAGAGTTTCTCAGTTGCTTTTTGTTTGTTAGTTTTGTTTTTTTACAGTATAATGTTCACCACCAGAATAAAAAAAACCTCTCAAGCTTAAAGCTACTGTCATCATTCAACATAAAAAGGCAAAAAAGCGTTAACAAGAATAGGACCAAAGATATGGATCACAGTACGCGCACACATGTAGTGCAGACGGCTGTCCTGCAGAACTAACAGTCTGTATGGGCCAAGGTTTTCGGCTGCACGTGGACATCTACACAGGAGACTCTGCAGAGATTGACATTTTCTTGAATTTACATCACACACAACCACATTGGCCTTTAAATGGACCTTAAAAATGTTTGCATCTTTACTTAGAACCTCTGACTGAAGAAACTCCACACTATGTCTACATGGGCAACACAGCAGCTTCAGTCCTGTATCAGTGTGGATCACTTTTCTATAAAAGTCACCAAAACAGAACGAGGTTCCCTCTAAACCACATCCTTTCATAATACTGCATAGACACAGCGAACCTCCAGTTGTGTTGGAGAAGATGTTTTCCACATTTCAGTACTAATATTTGTGCAACAACATCAGAGAGGCGCAGAAGTCTGCTTTTAAAACCTTAAGACCTTCTGTTGTTCACTTTTCTCTACAATGTTACATGTATTACAACCAGTCCATAAATATCCATAAAAATAAAACTCCACTGTGATGAAGGCGGGCACTGCAACAGGTCAGATTAATGACACTAATTAATGCTGGTTTTCATGAAACAGTAACAGAAGCTTAAGTTTAATTTGTTGCTTCCAGCTGTTTGTAGGAGTTTTTCCTTTGAGTTTATTAATTTCCTGCAGCATCAGGATCCATACGAGCATCTTCAGTGTAACACAGGTGGAGTCATTTTTACACGTGCTACAACAGCAGTCACTTCATTACTAGTTATCAATTATCCATAAGCAGCAAACAGCAGGTCACATTGTATACTTTCCTTCACCTCAGACAGGTGAGCTGTCACACAGAGTCACAGTTTATCAGCTGCAGGTAAATCACTTTTTACAAAGCCGCTATCCTCGAGTTATAAGTCTGACCTACTGATGTTTATTAGTGCATTATTATATATCATAGATCACTTGATGCTCTGTCTAATGTCGCATGTAAGACACATATTACAAACGTTCTCCATCGCTGTTCTGGACATGAATGAAGCCGTGAGGAACACTTACAATAATAGGACTTTTGTCTGAATTGCCATCAGTTTAACAGATCTATGAAGCGGTAATGTTTCATAGACT